AGTGGAAAATTCTAAGGTAAAATAGTCAGCCTAATAATTAGTTTGGTGGAGGTTCAAAATTAGAGTTAAATTGACTAAAATGCTTAACAAGTCTGTTTTACCTATTTCATTAGAGTTGCTCTAAGTAATTAATATATATTTGTGTCCCTGTGTATTGATGCTCAATTATACATTAGGTTAAGTTTTCAGGAGAATGAAGTTATGAAAAATATGAAAAGGTTAAAATTTTAAAAAATTATTTATTTTATTTAGAGTGAAAAATATTTTCTTGTACAACTTGGGAATTTGACCCCCCCTCCCCCTCCCCTCCAAAAAATAGGGAAAATTACTCTAGGGTCCCTCTCCCACTTTTCGTAATGGAAGAGATCTACAAAATTATTTTTTGATGTCTAAGGTCCTTCAACCCCAAACTCATATATCACAGAGAAATTTAGGAAGTCTCTTTTTTCTCACTCTCTGCTCTCTCTCTCTCTCTCCTACATCAAACCCAAACCCTAGCTGCTTCCTTCATCCTCGTGAGCTTGCTCAGAGCTATCAGACCTTGTTCTTGCTCAAACACGTCTAGACCCACGAACCGTGGTCTCGACGGAGCTGTGAACAAAGACCAAACCAACGAGTTACTCCGAAAGCACCGAAACGGAATCGTGGCGGATCGAGAGCACCGAAACGAATGCTCGGTGTCAATGAGGTTGGAAACGAGTCTGATTGGACCAATGCCGGCGGAGCGAGTGGGGATGAAGAGGAGGAGGAAGAGGATGAGGTTGCTGCTATGTTTCTATGGTTGTGGGTGATTATATTCATTTTACTTGGTAATTGATCTTCTAAGGTTGACAGTCAGGTCGACTTATTTTGAATAACTAAACCAGAATTCGTAGTGTAGAAACTTCGGAAAAGGTTGTGTCCCCACAGTGTTTTTGCACATGCTTTGTTTTGTTCTGTTCTCCTTTCTTTTGTGCAAACAATGCACGAATTTGAACATGCATTTCATTGAATTTATTACTTCATTAACATACATGTGATGTACCTCCTTATAAACATGAATATAATTCTGCATGTGAATCAGGTTGTGAATGGTGATGTAAGCTTTATATACTTCCACCTGTTTAGTATCAGTTTAATTTTTTATGTTTTTTAAAACAGAAACAATCTCCTGCATTATTAGACCATTCTGACTATTAGGTCTGCTGCATATCATTTGCTTGCAACTTTTTATGGTTGTGAAAAAAGATTTCAATGTCAAGTGGAATTTGATGAATGAATTCTGAGAAATTTTCAACTATACCAACTTTATTAGATCTGATTTCATTGAATTTCCAAGACCTCCTCCTCTGCAGAGAAATTTCAATTTTCTCTGGGTTGAACCCAGAGAAATTCTTTGGGAAGTTCATAATTTCTCTGGGTTAGAAGTAATTTTCTTTGGGAGCGTTTTTAGAACCTTCTATCTATGACACAGTGAAAGCTTTCAACAACATTTGGTGGAGGATCAAACCCACGTCATGCATGATCCTAGTTCATGTTAAGATGGCTAATGCAACACATGCAAAATGCAACTAAGATAGGCTCGGCTATTCTAACATGGCATGTGAGATGCTACAACTAACACGTATTCAACTTGGAATTGAAATACAATGCAGTTAGTATGATGCGCCGAGCTCGGTGCATGCAAGACGTATGAATGATGCGGACATGCATAGTATAAGGATGCTAATTGAAATATGCCCTAAATCTAACCATCGTAAGCGGTTAAATAAATGAGAGAAAGAAATGGGGGTTGGAAGACATGCATCACACACACGCACACTTATTACAACATTGCGCTCTCTCGGAGGGTCCGAAAGAATAATACAAATTTAACTAACTAACAAGCTAATTAAATAATTACAAAACCGCTTAACTAATTAACAAATTGATTAAGCTAAGAAATCAGTGAAGAGGCCTCGGGAAGAGGGATGAATGCATGTGTGCTCGGCTTTGCTCGGAAATCCGTCGCCATGCTCATGTTGCCTCTGTTTGCACTGCTCTGCACATTTGAAGACTGCACATGTCCCAAGGATGCTTCAGAATCACTCCATGATCACTGTGGGATGTCACCGGCCAAGAGGAATGGTCACCGGCCATGGAAAAGTGGTCATCAACCAGAAGTGTGGCTCTCGGCCAGAGATTTGTAGTCGGTCGGCACTGAATGTGGTCGGTTGACCATTCATTCCTGTAGAACCCTGTTTTGCAGACAAGGCATGGCAATGCATTTTTAACGCAATGTGTGCACAACCACCCTCTCTATCATGTTATGGACTCAAGGGAGTATGGCTCTCGACCCTCGGACCATCAATCACGCATTTCAATGCATGATGGCCAAAGAAGCCAAGTGTACAACTCAATATGGAATGAAATGTACAAAACACACAAAGGGTCCCAACCTCTATCATGATTGATCAAGAGGCAATGGATGCACACACAATGCAATGCAACCTAGACAAGCAAGCAAGCATGCAAATAACTCAAGTGTGCAACAAATCTAACGCAACATGAGCATATTAACATGCAATATGCAATAGACATACAACCTAAACATGTGGACATGTATAGTATGCAACAACATGCAAAATGAAACAAGCATGCAACAACATGGTGAGATGGACTTACACTAACATGGGTAGCTCTCAAGCATGCCGAAATCAGTGGCCAAAAATGATAGAATCAAGGCACCAAAACTCATGCAAACATGCACAATGCAATGGCCCCGTGACTAAGGCACAAAATGTAACTCTCAAAGAGCATGGCAAGGATGAAACATGAGGTACAATGGCATACACTCCAGCTCTGAAATAGCATACAAAATGACTTCGAAATGATGCAATAACTCGTGCAATGCATGTAGGAAGGCTCAAATATCGAAACTAGTGAAGCACATTACACTAGAGGTATGCAAAGCAATGCACAAATGATGAAACCAACTCCTAACAGACCTCATGCAGTCCCTAAAGAGTGGAAAAAAAGGCTAAAATGAGGGCTTGACATGCACCAAAATGAAGCTCATGCAAAGGCTCATAAACAAGGCATAATGATGCAACTCTCAAACGCATCGAAGGCATACTAAACATGAGAATATGGCACACATATAAGCTCTGAAACAGCATTCCCTATGATACCAAAACATGCAAACACCTCAAACAACGCACGCAAGGGGCTTCAAAACTCTAAGGTAAGCAAGACTATTACACTATAGCCATGCATGGCAAGCACCAATCGACCAAGAGGCCTAAAAACAAAGCTAAGGCAGGCCAAAATATGAACAAAACATGTTTGAAACATGGCCAAAATATTCTAGAATGGAGGGCCAAAACAACATGCAATGTGAGCTAGTAAGCATGGTTTACACTACAAGCATGCGAAGCAAATGAGGGACCACCAAACCAGCCAAAAAAAGATTCATGGAATGCCAAAATATGACTAAAAATCCACTGAAAGATAGTCAACACATGCTAGAATGGGATGCTCCTTTGATAAGCCAAGAAAGGGGTTACTCTACACATGCAAGAAACAAACAAAAGGGGACCAAACCAGCCATGGACAGACGCTAGGCAGGTCCTAAGAGTCACCAAAAAGGGCCTAAATCAAGCTTAGGATGCATGCAAATATGGGCTCCTTTGTAAGGCCAAAAATGCAAGTAAACAAGACAATAAGGAGAGGGGATGGCCCTCTCTTTTTTAGGACCTCAAAACATCATCCCCACCACTGAAATCCCTATAGATTTCAGTGGTGAGAAGGCCAATACTAGGTGGTCCCGAAGCTCACAAAAAAGGCACAAAAAAGAGGCCAAACAAGGCCTAAGAGGGGGTAAACAACCCCAAACACAAAAGTGACCTCAAACAAAGATCAAAAGCATGCAAAATCAGAATTTTTATTAGTTATACACTAAGCTTAAAACAGCATGTAAGACAGGCTAAATACTTGTGCAAAAATGGGGAATAAAAGAGGGAAAAGGAGTGTTACCCTTGTAGCCAAGAACTCCAGCAGCTTTGGACCCAAAAACCAGTCCCTTAGCCTCTGAAAATGGCCTCCAGGATGCTTAGACTGAAGGTGGAAGGGTTAGGCTAAGAGTTGTAGTGCAATGGGGCGAAGAACCTTACACTTTTGAGCTAAAATGGAGGAGATATAGAGAGAGATATATGTGTATGGAGCCTTGGCCAAAAATCTGAACCTTTGCTAATGAGGGAGAGGCTCTCTCTTATAGAAGAACAAAGGTCCAAGCTTCTCTTAGAAGCTTGAGCAAAAGGGCCAAGCTTCTCTTAGAAGCTAAAGCAAAAAGGGTCAAGCTTCTTGAGGAAACTAAAGCAAAGGGGTCAAGCTTCCTCAAGAAGCTAAGAAAGATTCAAGCTTCTCTTAGAAGCTTGGAGCAAAGGGTCACGTTTCTTGGAGAAGCTAAAAAGGATCAAAAGGTTCAAGCTTCCTTAAGAAGCTAAAAAAAGGTTCAAAAGGTTAAGCTTTCCCAAGAAACTAAAACAAGGATTCAAAAGGTACAAGCTTCCTCAAGAAGCTAAAACAAAGGTTCAAAAGGGTCAAGTCTCCCCAAGAAAAGGTCTCGGCCAGAAAAAGTGACCGATTGATCAAAACAATGGCCGGCCGACCAAAAACAATGTCGACTGGCCAACACCTTTGGCCGGTAGTAAAAAAACAGGGCCGGTGGCCTCAGGCCATGGCCGGTGAGGTGTGGGGATGGCCAACAAGCCATTCCCTGCCCTTAGAAGCAATCACACAAGTGTTTCGTCTATAACCAAGCACAAAACAAACAAGTCGAGAGGTCTCGAGGCAAGGTGTGCGGCCGAAACCTCTGAGAACTCAAGACGAACACGAACATGGATAATCATCGAGTGTTCAAACGATGACGTCCAAGTCTTAAGGACGGTCAAAAATGGGGTGTCTACAACTACGTACTATTAATCCAATACCCCCATAGTTCGTAGAATATTTTTTGGAGAGCAAAAAAGTTGGGGGTATTGAATTTGTCAAACAACTACTTGACCCTCACAACTAGTTTGCATTAGCAGAGAATGTTCCCCTGTGTAACTGTGGACTAACAAGCTGCACCACAAAGCCACTAATCACGTTTTGGTCAAGAGGCCTTTGTTCATCCACTAGATGTTGGGTCCTGACTCCTTAGAGCTCAAGGATTCCGAAATACAATCCTACAAAAAAGATCCTGTTCAAGTAAGGTCATGTCACTTTCTCTTCTTCTTGCCTTATAATTATAGTTCATTTGTTTCTTAACCATTCGATGTGGGACTCTCTTGTTTTTGTTTCTGGGTTGAGCTTGTAAGCATTCTTCATTTTAGATTTGATTTGGATTTGAAAATCTGAGAGAGAAGAAGTTCGATTGAGAATTTGAAAGACCCAAAATTGATAGAATAAAGCAGAGGCAATATAGACATATATGCTCCTGTTAGTCTCCTTTTTTTCTTCAATACTTCCAAATTTTGTATTGAACTATCCTGTTTTGTATACTGGAAAAAACTCACCACTCTATTTATTTATAAGATGAACAGACATTTTAAAATAAAGGCAAAAACATTCCCATTCCTAGGGTGTCTGCGGTTTGGATTTGGACAGTTTGTGGATTGGTTTGGACCCGCCCGCATGTATACGGTTTGGAAAAAAGTCAACCCGCAACCGCCTGCAGTGTGATTTGCGGTTTGTGTGGATAGGGTTCGAGGATGTGCCAGAGGTTGCCGGTGGTTTGCGGATTGGACTTTTTTTTTCAAAATTTTATTTTTGAGCTTTTTTTTTTCTTCTTATTTTGTAAATATTTATTTTGGGCCCTTTCCCCCTCATTTTCTAAAATGCTCCAACGTTAATAATTAATGAAATAAAACTCATAAAATTAAAAACACAACAAAATCAATTCATAACACGAACAAATCATTCAAAATCCTAAATCAAATCATAAACTAACAAAATGACATATTTCAAAATCCTAAACTAGAATTCCATATTCATTAAGGAATTTAAAATTCCAAACCACACGTCATCCGGGACAAGTTCAGTTATGAAAAAATAATAATATGATCAATATTTATTCAGTTTCAGTTGATATAATATTATTAGCAAATGTAATGCTAGAGTAAGTTCAAAGAATAAAGAGTGTTTTGTTTTGGACAAAAATATCTAGATAGGATATAAGAATGAAATCAACGGTTAAGATTAATAAAAATAAATAATGAAAAAAGTGTGGGCGGATTCTTGTGGGTACGGGTTAAACCCGTAACCT